ATAGAATATGTTATCCGCCACTCGTCGGTAATTGCAAGTAACAGAACGAAACATGCAAAAAATTTATTTAACGGTAATACGTTTAATTAAAAATAAAATTCAAGCATAAGCTTTACTATACGTTACAAGATTTAGATCTCGGACTTGATATAATTATATCCCTCCAAATCTTTTGCGATTAGTATAACTAAAAAATTCCAGTTATGAGCAAAAAATTACGCTTCACGTAAATTCGTGGTTGTCACGCCGAAACGTTTTGCGTGTTTCGTGAATATTCAACAATCTTAAATATTCAACGCCGGAAAACAGCATTATTCATCTCTTGGTGCCAGCCGTTCCGAGCATACATCTATTTTTGTCACTCTAATCCTACTCCAATCGGTCATCTTGATTTACGACGTTAGAAATGAAGAAATTATTCTCGGGAGCATTTTGCTATCTTTGTTCTTTGTCATACTGTCAACTTCATAACATTTGCCGTTCGTGTGACTTATGGCCACCAATTAATTTCGGATCTCGTGTTACAACGCTGGAACTCATCAGTAATCTGATTCAGAAATATATAAATCTGCTCAATCCAATTAATATTTTACGTTTCGAAAGAATATAAATCTTTCATAAAAATATAATTTATAGTTCTCTGAATATGCGCGCGTGCAAACTTTGTACATAAAATACTCTTCTCTTCCGCGTCCACTCAATTTATTTAATTTATACTCAAAGCCGACATTCTTTATGTTCGCAATGCTACAAAACAATCTACTTATTTACTGACTGAAAATTTACTTGATGCGAAAAGCTTCTGAGTGTTTTATTTCCTTTTTTTATATCATTCCTATATCTATTGCTGAAAAGTTCGCGCAGGTGCAAAACTTATTTGCTACTAAATCGAGTTAAATCGATGATAACGCTTGCCACTCACTATTTCACTTTTCCTACGATCGTCCTTCTCATAGCTGCAACACGTTCGCAATATCGCAAAGGCTGACTGTAGCGATACGAGGAACGGCATATTTCTATTTGAGTGAATTCGTAAAAGAACGGACAAAGATCAAATCGAATTTTCTAAAATATATATTTTACGGTAGAGTAATTTATTAGTGAGTATAATATTAAACTTTCTATAGCTTCAACCAATAATATATTATGACTACAAAAAAATATAGAAAGTTTTTTAAAAATTACGTTAATCGATAAACTATAATTGTAGCCAACAATTTTCGTTTCTCATTTCTCACGGGTCACGGTGTCAGATGTCTCCTGCGCAATAATTACCGTCTTCATCGTTGCCGTAATTACTAAAAAGCAAAAGCAATCCATCCTTTTCTGAACTGACCGCAACATAGCCGAATACGACATGTCGTATAGCGCGCGAGAATTAATTAGAAACGATCGGTTGGCGGATACTCTTGCGCGAGAACTCGACAGGAATTTTCAATTTACGATCCACATGGCCAGCACAACGCGAGTCTAATATCCACCTAGGTACCGGAAGCCGTCGCGTATGGTCGAATCAATTAACATATAGCACGCTCGCGCTAATGGTAGCGCACGTACATTCGTGCGATCGGTACGGCGCGTCCACTCGCCACCGCAATCAGAGTTTAATTACACATAAAGTAATTTGCTAATTACCTTTCACCCCGCCCGCAATCGGCAATACGTCGTGGTATTAATGCAGAATAGTTCGGAGTTACTCTGGTATTTTTCGAATCGTTCACGTCGTGGCTGATCAATGTGAAGGGTATCAGCGCTGACTTCAATGAACTATTGCTATGCTATTACGTCATTACATTATTAGTGTCAGTTTAATTAGATGATAATATCATAAGTCAAACTATGACATTATTTATCATTAATGATTGACAGTCCACAATAATGTCAATATTAAGTTACTATATCATTATATATTATATTAGATTTATCATTATTATGCTGTTATATTAATACTGGCAGGCATTAATACCGCTAAGAAGCATGGAATTATTATTGTTATTGTTATCATTATTACCGCTGTACTCTCGACACTGTTTCACGTCAAAATCGATTATTCACATCAACGAGTGCAGACGTTTTCGCATCGGTGCGGAAATTCGTACAAACAGACAACACGAGTTTTCCGCTTTCCACGGCTACAATCCGTATGACATTAATTTCGAGCGAATGGGCGAACACGCGCGCGTATATCGGATACGCACGAATTAATTAGCCTTTGCCCCCCTGTAATCGCGATAATGCGCACGTCGCGACGAGTCCTATATAATCTCGCGAAAATTCAATTGATTCGACGGAGTCACGCGAGTAACAATCTGCGTTTGTTATCAAAATGTTGAAAAAAAGGAAGAAAGCAACATCGTTTCTACAAACAAAAAGTAACGTGTCGTTTCTCTTCAGCAGGAAAAATAAACGTCCTTGCATTTCTAGTGTAAAAAATATAGAAAATTAATAAGATACATTGGAGGAATGCAATATGTATTAGTTTATTACTTTTTAAAATTGCAACAACGATAGAAAAAATTGCGGATTTAAATAATGCCGGCTATCCAAAAAGAAACGATTCTTTTATATTATTTTGTTTCGTTATCTTATTTATTATTTTAATTTAATACGTTTCTAATAGCATAATAATTATAGAACTTATGTATAGAATAATTATAGAATTCTAGTATCATATAATAATTACAGAAGTAATAGACCGAATTGTGCTTTCCGCGGAAAGCAATGTTAATGTTTCTTGATAGCGTCACGATACTCACGATAATACATCCGGCCTTCGTTACATTTACATCCGCGATTCATCGAAACTCGCAGACCAAAGCTAGATATTGGTATTATTACATTTGCATATGAATGCAATCTGCCTTCCTATCGCGGAGGATAACTCATCCCAGAGTGAATATCCATTCAATACCGTCCCTCGATGCGACTATGTTGCGATGATTACCTTGTCGGACACCTTCTCATTGGTGTCACAACGGAAGCGCCCAACATCGTGAATGTATATATTTATTGTATCGACACACAACGGAAATTCATGGCTGTACATAAATTTCCGCGGCGCATTAGCATTGCGAAATTAAAAGAGCGAAAACAACGTGAAAACAACAATATATAATTGCACTCCGCGAGAAGATAAATCATTGACCGGATGTTTATATGTAATAAATATCATAATATATCCGAATATCAGATAATGCAATAACAATACGTTATCAAATTAATAATGTTGACACAATAGAGGAAAAGGTGGTAATATGGAATCTTGCTGATAATATATGGAACCCCTCAATATCTTAAAAACTTTGAGCTACACTTTATAGGTGACAGCTGGAACTTGTTTATTAAGTTGCCCTTTGAGCCGTAAGAGCGTTAGATTCACTAGTTTGACAATAACAATAAAGTAAAAAACATACTTGTCGATTTCCGAACGTTTAAAAAGTACACTGAAAGAAATAATTATTTTTTTCAAAAAAAATTTTGTTGATTTAATAAAACCGGAAGATTGTATGTTGCCAAGCAGATGATTTGATTGGCTTAACAAAATATTTGTACAAAATATTTTCTTTTCGACTATTTTGTTTGTTGACTATATTGATTTGTTCTTTTTAACTAAATTTTTTATACTATCAATTATGCATAATATAACATTAACTAAATATTTCTTTGAATAAATTTACTATTTTTAAAAACATTAATGTTCTTGGTTCAACAAAATTATTCTATTTAAGTTAACAAAATTTATCATTAACTTAAAAAAATTAATCATTAACTTAAAAAAAAAAATGATTTTGTATGATACCATTTTCAGAATTCAATTATTTCATTTTGTTCAAATAATAGACGTGTACTTAATTCAATAAAATAAATAATTGGATCAATAAATTGAAAAATCAACAAAATTGTTTTGTTGATTCTACAATATTTTTCCCTCAGTGTAAGTAAAAATTTTGTTTATTTGTAACTGTTCGTGATTAACAGCTAACGTTTATAGTCAGACACTTAAAGTATATGATGTTATATAAAATAAAAGAATTGAGAATCTTGATACAGTTATATATATAATACCAGGAATGAAAGAATTAAGCTTACAGTTTACAAGAAATAGCTTAAAAACAAAAGGTTCCATCTTACCACCTTCTCCTATATAATTTTGATAATAATTTTCGCAATTGCAATAATTATGACGGTATCGATGGCAACGCCTACGGTTTTACTAATAAGTAATTAATAATCGTATCTCCAAAAGTCAATAGCCATTGAATCAATATCGCAGAAATATTTGAGAATATACTTGTCTCCGCGGGCACACATCGTTCGCATTCAATCAGGATTAGATTTGCTCGCATATATGCAAACAGATGAGGGCGCGGATAGATTCCGTGTGTGGTATAACTTGAATTGTGAACGTCGAGGATTCGCGAAATAGCGGAAAGTCCAAAATCGCATACTCCAGCAGTCCATAACTCTAGGATTACGGCTGCAAGTTCCATTTATGCGCCTGAGCAGCTAACTGGTCCAATTAGTCGAGGGGCGACGTTGAATTCGGAAATTACAATGCACTGTGGGTGACAAGTGCAAAAAGGAAACGAGGAATGTCCTACACTTTCTATCGAGATCCGTTGCCAAGCGCTTGCCAAATAGGGTTGTAAGAATTGTTATTGAAAGTGTGTGTGTTGAATAAATTTCCAAAGAACGTCAAATAATTTATTTCTTATGTATTAATAAATAATACATAATTATTTTAAAATAAACCTTAATTGCATTAAAGATTCTATAAATCGATAAAAAATGTGTATGCTAATAAAAAAATTAAAAAAATGTAATACAAATTATATAAATTACAAATTATTGTAAAAAATATCTGAAATTAAATTAAAAATAATTAAAATAAATTATATAAAATAAAATATATAATTGCAAACGGATTATCAATTTACGATAACATAATTAAGAAATGTATACTGTTTATGTTTATTAAAAAAAAAACGTTTTTGTTACAGAATTTGAAAAACCAGATCATGACGACAAACCTCTGGGTCGAACAGGTGAGCGATAAATAATTTTCTTTTAAATATTTAATTCGTAACGTACTCCTTGAAACATTTTTCTTACGATTTTGTACAAATGAATAATTATTTATAAAACGTTGGCATTTCTAACGTTACTGCACAACTTTAATAAAAATTAATTTGAATAATATAATCGCGTGATACAACAATATTATTTAATCAGCATTTAATTGCGCGAGTAAAGTATTTTAAAATAAAACACTCGTTTTTCGAACTGCAGCGATACGCGAAGTTTGGTAGAAAAGAAAGACTCAGAAGCGTAATTGGACCGTTACGAACATTAGAAGGAACATTATAGAAGGAGAAAATTAACGAGGTAACCGAAACGTTCGCGTTTGGGAAACAACGGCTGTTTCGCTGCTTCACGTTACACGAACGGCAAATTACTTGTATTATGGGTACCTGGTATATGTACATATATATCTACCGATGTATCTGCGTGACGTTGTGGCCGTTTACCATAAAATACTAGGCAGGATAAGGCAAGAGAAATTAGACAACGGGTAGTGCACCGTCGCGCATAATTGAAGAATAATTAAGGCGTCGATTAGTATAGCGATTACAGTCTGTTTCTTCGGCGAAACGACGCGCAAAGCTCTCAAAACATCGTCGTTAACGGACTTCAGGAATGTCTAGACGTTAACTGTTTCTAGGAAAATGCTAATTGCCTTCACAAAAAGACTATTCTTTTTTTATACAAGACCTGCCACAATCACCGTACAATGCTTTAATATTCTGAAGATTATTCAAATATTCTTAAAATTATAATCAAAATTAAAAATCTTAAAAATGTCAAGATCACGATAATTTTCAAATGATAATAGTTAAAATTAAAGATTAATGTTCGATTAAAGTTCGCGTAAAGTTTATGCGTTCATACTTGCGCTTATAATTGCGTTTACATATGCTTAAACTTACTTTAGATGATTCATTAATTATGAATTAATAATTGAAAACAGTTATACATCGTTTATCCCGCTATATAAGAGATTTTATAAGCTTTATAAAGTGCATTGTAGATATAATAAACTTAATAAATTGTTATTTAATAATCTTGCATTTATAATTAATTTAAAATACATCTCTTTTTCTCCTTGTTTATAATCACTTATCTAAATAATAAATTTAAAATTTCAATTGGTGGGATAAAAACCACAGTAGTGTAGGTCAAATTTTTTAAAATATTTTCTTGTGTGCATAATCTGTACAATATATAAATTGCATCTATGCACATGAGAAAATATGTAAAAAAATTTGACACTACCGTGGTTTTTACCCCTCTAATTAATTGTTATGTACCTGATATTAAAATTAACATTTTTAGCTTCATGGTGTCCTAAATTGTATTTTATAAAAATTGTATTTTCTAAAAAAAAATAGCATAAAGCGCTTGGCAAAAAAATTATAAAAAAAAAAATAATAATATTTTTATGAAATTCAATTGCTAATAATATTTATACTAGAAAACAATTTTACTATTACAAAAATTACTTTATTATTACTCTATTATCTTTTATCAATATTTTTGTTTTAAAATGTTTTTTATTTTTTTTATTTCTATAGAGTTTAAATTGTCCACGTATTTCAAACGACTTGTGTAGCTTTTAATTATTATTTCATTGCGTAATAAAGCACCAAAAAATGCCGATAAATAAGCAAAATGGTCAATAATGATTCGTTAATAAAGCTTTATTTTATGAGCTTTTTATTATCGAATCACTGAGATCGCTTTAGTTATTAGCACATATAGCTGGCATTTTTTGGTGCTTCATTACGCAACTAAATAATAATTAAAACTCAAATTGTCATAATTTTGCCAGTAAATAAGCAAAATGGTCAGTGCAATATATAATTCAATGAATATTTGCTCACGTTCCAATATTTAAGTTTAAGTATATTACTAATTTATCATAGCCTATCCAGTTTAAGATATACACATAATAATACATAAATCTATAAAATATTTGATTCATTGATCTTCTTAATAAAGTATCTTCTTAATTTAGCATACATGCAGTATATACATTTATATAGATTTTATATTTGATACAATATTTTTTAAATGTATTAGCTTAGTTGAAAATAATAATATTTTGTCACTCACCGACACACGATGCGCAGCGGCGGAGTTATAACGCAAAGGTTGATCTGTAATATACATATACAATATGTAAGTTAGAATTGGCGCTCACAATAACCAACGTTTTAAAAACTAATTGCCATAATAACTATATAATTATCAAAAAGAGTAATTTTTTATATAAACTTTTATAAAATCTAAATAAAAAATGAAAGTGCGACTCTCTCTAATATAAATAATTATTCAAATAGCGAATCGTAAATAAGAGATTAGATACTTACCCCGGTTGCTCCCCGCCGTCGCCCGATGCTTCCCAGACCTCCTCCTCCTCTCAGATTTCTTAGTTGCAGCCGCAGCACAACACTCGCGTAAATACCGTTAATTACAATCACGCGTACATGATTCTCAAACGGGAGTTTTTCAATGGAGCTGAAAAAAGAAATAATTACATCGAGCGTCTCTCTTACAGTAGGTATACTTGCTACGACGATGGCATATCGAGCTTTATACTAATACGAAGGCAATGAAGGCATACTTTTCGTACCGATACGTGAGGAAGTAATTAATAAAGCAACGCGCAACTTACAAGCACAATGCATCCTGTACCACAGAAAAAACGCCGATGAGCGTTGCGTGCCAATCGTTACGAAATATTCTATGTATTAACTTTTTAAATACAGATTCCGTAATGTATATTCTGGTCTTTATATATCAATCAGTTACTACACGCGGCATTCCGTTACCCGTTACTTACATCACACGGATCGGATTTACGCATTAAGCCGGTTCTACACAGTGAAGTTGTACCTTCGTCGGACTTCGGAGTCGGCTACTCGGGTGTCGGAACGCAGCCGATGATGGCCCAATGAGAGAATTTCTTTTTTCGAGAACGAATTTTCTTCATTGGACCATGCATGCGGCTGCGTTCCGACATCTAGTTGTAGAACAGACTTTACTCCGCACTTTGCGATTTGAAAATGATAGGTGGGGTGAGTTACGTGTATAATTGCGGAGAAGAATTTAAGGCGATATATCCGAAGAATCAGTGTACACGGGAAATACGGGAATCACGGGATACCTCGACTGCGTTCGGGGAGCGCGCTATTTGCTTATTCTACCCTTGTTTTACACCTGATGAGCGGTAAAGATAGAATGATATGCAATAGCGCTAATAGCACGCTTTCCGAACGTAGCCCTCGTCGCCGCGCCGTCCTCCTTCACCTCCACCTTCCTCGACGTATACGTACATATTCGGCGCGGTGCGGCGCGACATCGCGGCGTCGACTGACAGAATTTAGGTTAGGGTTGGTTTATAATAGCCGTTAAGCCGTAATCTTTAAGAAATTGACCAATCACAGTCGATTATTCTTCTCACATTCGACTGTGATTGGTCAATTTCTTAAAGATTACGGCTTAAATCAACGGTTACGGCTATTATAAATCAACCCTTAGGAAGACCAGAGCTTCCAGCTTCCAGCAGTTCCAGCTCTCGCGCGGGGCGACGCGATGTACCGTCGTACATCTAGTTTAAACGTCGTTGACATCATTATTGGCCGTAAGTATATTAATGAAACGATGACTTAAAATTCTCGGTTTCTATCGCTCCGATCTTTCTAGCTCAAACGAACAAATATCTGCGTCGAGACATATAGTTTTTGCCTAATCTTACGAATAGGTTCGTATAAACAAGAGTAATTCATGACGCTTGAGTAATTGAGCGCCATGTAAATGAGTAATAAATTATTGAAAAATGTCACTATCGGCTCGTTCGGGCGTCAGCGAACGAATGATTGCGTCGCGCCGCGCGTCGTGCCAGACCTTGACCCGCACTATGAACAATATATGCTCTACCCTGTGAGTTAAAACCACGGTCAAGAGCCGCGTGTGTTAGCCAAATATATTCCGTTCCTTATATTTTTGATTACATTATTAAATGCTTGCTACCTATCGAAACGGATATTTATTTATTTTAACTGAAAATCGAAGCTGTAGGATAAGAGGATTTTTAATTATTGTCTTGTGCCGTATTTATGTATTTATGGATAACGATCATTTTTTCAATGTATAAACTTGAATATATTTCGAATTGCGTTTTGCATTGTTTTGAATGGACTATCGTACTTGTGTTTTATTTCAAAAACTTGTTAGCATCGTCTAAGACACCTACCGATTATTTTTTCTTAAGTGTGTAATTATCATTTAAATTTTTATATAAAAACAGGTTAAGTAATTTTTATGTAAAGTTTTACTAGTAAAATTAGTGATAAAATTTTATTCTAAATTCTAATACTAATTAGTGTAGTTATTAATTATACTGACTTTTTCTTTCGATTTTACTAAAAATGAGCTAAATAGTAAAATCGATATTACTATCAAGATTTGTACAAATTAATAGATGATATATCGGTATGCGTGTATAGGTTTGATAACAGGAATTTTGAGTGATATTATTAATCAACTTTGGTCATTTATAATTCCGAAACTATTGCGAAATTTTTGACATTAGAATTTTTAATTCTAATTATAGTGTTCTTTAATTACTGTTCTTTAATTTTTAATTCTAATTATAGTGTTTTTTATAGTGAGCTTTATATTGTTGTATCGTGATACAGAACGTTATTGAAAGAGATAAATCTCTGGAATAAATTTTTATATTATATTTAATTAAGACGCGACTCACGCGACGAAAATATTTGTATAAGCATATATAGTTAAAACTTGAAGGACAATAAAATTAAATTACGAGGTATCAGGGAAATTTACGACAAATAATACTGTCGCTTAAAAAAAGGAAGCTTTTATGTTATACAGAAAACATCGGAAACCAAGATTTCGTTAAATAGATTTTTAATTACAATTGGAAGAGATTGCATTCGGCAATGTTTTAACTTTATAA